GAGGAGGAGGAGGAGGAGGAGGAGGAGGAGGAGATTGTGTGGGTTACAAACGTGCTTAATGTTGCCTAGATCTGGTCATAAGAACTTAACAGGAGGAAGTGATAAGATAAACATATGGGACAACAGTTGTTTCACTGGAAAAATCAAGTGTAATAATCAGGCTTATTTAGGACTGCCAAGCCCCTCATCGTGGCCAGGGATGCCCCACCCTGAGCTCCTGTTGACAAGCAGCGTGTTTGGAGGGAAATAATGAGCATGATGATGTCACTCCTGTGGAATACTTAGAAACTATGGCAGTAGCACTAGGAATCACTGAAAACTCTATGGCTGTGTTACTTCCAGGTTTTGTGCTAACAAATCTGTGTCAACAAATTTCATTGGTTAAATTCCATAGTTCTGTACCATTTCTCTTAACTGTGATCTACCTACCAAAGGAAAGCACTTTTATTCCTCAAGTGAATCCGAAGAAGAAGAGGAAGCACACAAGAAATTCAACATTAAGATTAAGCCCTTACAGTCTAAAGACATTCTTAAGAGTGCAGCAACCGTGGATGAACTGAAAGCTTCTATAGGCAATATTGCACTTTCTCCATCTCCAGTGGTAAGCAAAACTTTGGTCCCGGTCACACGGGCAGGAAACTGCGGGGGGGAAGTGTGGCAGTTTGCCCCGGGGCAAACTAAGGCGCGGTTACCTGATCAGACCTCCCGTGGAGGTACTGTGGAGGTTCCGTGGGAAAGGAGAGGTGCCGATCGCAGAACAATCCCGCGCGCAAAAACGAAGTGCGCGGTGCGGCAAACTGGAAGGGGTTTTTTTTGTTTCCACCATGATTGCGCATGCTCCGTTGTGTGCTTTTGCGCATCCACAAAGACTAGAAGAAAAAAAAACTTTTTCACCAGGGAACATGGGCGGGCGCCGGATGCCACCGGAAACGCGATCAGACGCCCGCCCTTGCCCCGCGGTTTCCGGAAACTAGTACCTCGGAGGTACTAGTTTTTTGCCGCGTGGTTTCGGCAGGAAGCCTCGTTTGAGCCACGGGAGTGCTACACTTCCCAGATGTGCCGGTGGGATCGCGCCCGGAAAACCCGCATGTCTTCCGTCTGACTCGCATGGCTAATGTTCCGTGTGACCGCAGCCTTTGTTTAGTATGCTAGTTTGTTAGAATAAAAAACCCCATCTTGGTTGCCTTTTTACAGTTGGTTTGTTATATTAGTACTTTTATTAACAGCTCAGGTAAGCTTTCAATGTCAAGACTTGTTCGTAACAAATTTGGGTTTGGATGTGTTGAAAAATCATTTTAGTCTTCTGAATGTGTTTGAGATTTTTGACAGGCTGTTAAAAGTACATGGCTCAGCTGCTGCTGCATCTATCTATGGAAGTGGAGTACATATCAGTAAATCCTGCATATCTTAAATCAACAAATAGTATGTTTATTTTGATACATACTTACAGAAAAGCACTTACAGCATAAGTGAAAAACTAAATTGCCGATTTCAGTACTTTCCACTGTTCAAAAGAGGGTTTTATTACTTTTGATACATCTTGATGACAATGATCTCATTTTAGAGATCCATGGAATGACCTCTATAAGCCCAGCAGAGGTTTTTATTGTGAAATAACTGCTGTTCATGCTTTATGTCAAGACATCTTGGAAAACTCGAGGAGGCTTCAAAAGCCATTGTGGTATAACAGGGAGGCAGCAACTGTTATTTATAAAGTAAAAACAAGGTTTTGAATTCCACAGCTCGTTAGTTGTGTTGAAGGCTTTTGGAATTTGAAGGAAACTTTCTTCACTTGTGAATGAATTCTCAGCCAGCTAACTGTCTGCTCTTGCTGAAATCATCAGTACTCATCATGAGAAACTAGAAGGAAGGAGGAAGATATTGAAGTCTAGTTGAGGGATGTGCATGACAATTTTTCAAGGTTGCAGAGACTCAAGTATTTTTGTGAAATAATGCTGCCCTATTATGCCAGGCTCCTTGAACTTGGTGTAGCCTGGTTATTCTTAGCTAGGTTGTTTTTCGTATCAATTCATGCATCATATTTTTAAGGGTAAATTTAAGGATATATATTTTATGTACATATAAAAAACCAAGTGTAATTGAAACTAATGTATGTATAGTAATTTATGTACATGTCAAAATCCTGGCTGCCATCTCCATACATATTTAGTGTAATATGCTCCTGCAACACCATGGTTTAAAAGGTGCTATATAGAATTCTGAATGAGGGAAGTCCCATATCAGGCACTGCAGCAATCCAAATAGGAAGTAACTGAAGCATGGATGATAATGATGATGGTGGTGGTGGTCTGACTCACAGAGAACAAGTTGCAGCTATTTTATCATCTAAGATGATGGATGGCTAATCCTGTCAGCTATGAGTCAAGCAGAAAAGCAACACCTATGATTGTTCCCAGCCCGTAAATGAGATCTTTCAGGGTGTGTGTAAGCTTGAGTCGAACATGTAAACCTTTGGGTCACATGAATGCCCATCCATTATCACTTCTGTTTTGTCCAGATTTAGTGTCAATTTATTCACCCTCAAGCACCCCATAGCTGTGTCCAGTCACTGGCACAAGGCAACTGCATCAGGATATCATGAAAAACAAAGTTGGGTTTTTCAGCCTTTTGGTGACACCACATTCAAAATTGTTAGATAATCTCTAGGTATTAAAACGTATTGGGGACAAAGTCAAACTTTGGTGTAACTGGTAGGCCATGCAAAGTCATCCAATACTACTTTCTGAGTCTGAATGGACAGGTATCTTGAAATGATTGCAACAGAACAATGATTTCTTACTTGCAATGGTCTGAAAGGGATTTGATGATCAATTTTATTCAAGGCTACTGAGAGATCCAGCAAAATCAACAGGTTCACATGCCCCCACTACCCCACCCAGGCATTTCTAGTTGTAGGTTGTCAGTCTGGGCTAGTAGAGCAGCCTGCGTTAAGATAATCAGTCTCACCCAAGATCCCCTGCAGCTGCTGTGCCACGGCCTGCTCAGCTACCTTGTCCAAAGGTGGAATGTTTTGTTCTACCCTGTGGTTATTCACATGAGCCTAATCAGTGATTTACTTTCTGAGGATCAGGCAAATGAGGGCCTGTATTAAGGAAAGAGGCACTGCACCCACTATAAAAGGGAAATTAGTAATAGCAACAGACAAAGCCTCTCACACTTAGACTTGATCAGCAAAGACAGGACGGATCACACAGGCATGATGTCAGATGAAAGTCTCCAAGTAGCTTATCTGCCTCCTTAGAATAACTAAATGAAACATCCAGTTTAACCAGACAAGCAACAGTTCCTGGCACCTTGGAGCAACTTTTGTAACATCCATGTCTGTCAAGTAAGAAGAGATTTGTTTTGGTTGTAAGCTGGTCTTGGTGTTAGTGAGCAGCTAACTACTTCCTCAGGTGAACTGGGATGTAAGAATTTCCTCACCACAGAAAATATTGCCCATGCAAGTGCTTTTGTTCCCAGTTGTCAAAGTGAGTTTTGATTGCAATCTTTTGTAATCTTCTTTGGTTTCTGTAACCTTAAATAAGTCTGCCTTGTATACTTCAGCTAGAAGCTACTCTTTGCTTTTCTCGGTATAGTCATTCAGTGCTCGTTTTTCCTCTTCAACTGCTTGCTTAACTTTCAGGAGACTTCTTCCACCTAATTTTCTTGGTGGTATTATTGCTGTTTTTGTTGTTGTTGTTATACAGGGAATTAATTGCCACTTCTCCAGAGTCCTGCTTGATGTGGCATACAAATAGAAATACCAGAAAATCTTTAAAATATAATAAAGGCATCAATTAAAAACAAACTGGTGGTATAAATCAACCACTGAGCACCCTGAAAAGATTCACAGAACAGACCATTGTCCAGAAGACCATAAAACAGATAAAAAGATAATACCACATTTTAAAAGACTGGGAAAGCATACGGAAGGTGAGGTCCCAGCACTGAAAATGTCTCTAGCTGCCACCTGCTTCACTTCTGAAGACATAGGCAGAGGCAGCTTAGCAGGAATTGGGAGGCAGATGCTGAAGGCATACACATTCCCTCAACCCCTACTATATACAAAATTATACTGAGAACCTTGAGAATGAGGGGTGACATACACATTTTTAAAATAAATCAATACAAATTTTATAAAACGGCCCTGGTTTACCACTGTTCTATATTTAAAATTCTAGACTGCATTGCATCAGTTTTAAAGGGTTTGGTTGGAATGTCTTTGGGGAAGATGTTTCTCCCCCCCCCCCCAAAAAAACCAAGCTTTCTCTGTGATTATTTCAACATTAAGAATCAAATCAAAAGTAAACCAGTGTCACATCACAGCTAAGCAAATATCCATATTGCAAGCATCTTCTCTGGATCTGCAGTGACCTTCCCTGTGCAAGTTGCTAGTTGCACAGAGTACAAAAAGTTCTGCACCTGCTTTGATGGTGGCTAAAGGAAACCAATTGGCAGTTGGGATGTAGCCAGTAGAAAGCTGGCAAGAATCAGTCATGTGGGTGGTGCTATACAACTGCTGCTTTTGGAGGAACTGTTGCTTGAGAAATCATTCTACGTATAGGCTTATATTGGCTTATAACAGTGTTTTCCCCTCTTCCATTTATCCTGACAACAACATCCCTGTGAGGTGGGTTAGACTGTGGGAAGGTGACTGGCTCAAGGTCACCCAGCAAGCTTCCATGGCAGAGTGGGGGTTCAAACCAAAGCCTTGTCTGACATTCTAACTGCTACACCATGCTGGTTTTCATATGCTCTGGTACTCCCAAATCCTGGCATGGAGGGCCTTCTACTTTGCGTGTTATTTGTCTGTTTCTAGCTAGTCTATTTTGCATTTTATAATGAAAACTGAACTTGCTAGAAAAAGTACTAAATAGAAATGTGTCATTCCCCATAGTCCTGATCTGGATAGCCCAGGCTAGCCCAATCTTATCAGATCTCAGAAGTTAAGCAGAGTCGGCTGTAGTCAGTATTTGGATGGGAGACCACCAAGGAATACCGGGGTTGCTACACAGAGGCAGGCAATGGCAAACTGCCTCTGAACATCTCTTGCCTTGGAAACCCTATGGGGTTGCCATAAGTCAGCTGCAGCTTGATGTCAAAAAAGAGACTCCTCTGTGAGGATTTTAGAGAGAATCAAGAGTGTCCCTTTTTGCTACTTAATATTGTGCTACTGTTTTTTTTCCTGTTTATGTAATCATGGGAATTACAGTTATCTGAGAAGAATAGAATTATAACTGTTTGATAAAATGTTGTGGATCCCGATTGGGTGGAAAGGCAGCATAAATAAATAAACATCATTACAAAAATACTCTTACAGGAACTGGGGAATGGGATCTGTGACAGAAAATTATCTTGTCATGATATAACTGTAACAATCCCCAAACTGCTAATAATACTAATATATCCATAATTCATGATTGTTAGTATTACTGTCCTCTGGAGTCATAATTACCTAAGCACTTCTGAATTTCCAGTTGAAGAAAACGCATGATCATTAGCTATTTTAATTTGCATGTAAAAGTTTTCCATTAACAATTGCACTTTCATTAGTTACTCAGGTTTTACCAGAGTGGAAATAAGCAGCATAACTAGGAA